TGTTATTCCTTCAATAAATAATAAAAGTCCGCTGTGCCTCCTTTTTATTCTGCTTTTTTATTTTGGCTTTTTTGCTTTCATTCAAAGCCGGAGGGGTGAAAAATAAGGCGTATTTTGTGATTCTTTGTGTAGGTGCGTGAGGGCCGTAGGAGGAGGCGTGGGAAGCTCCTTTCCTCCTCTGCCCCCAAGAAGAAGAGGAAGGTGAGGGTGATATGTATGCTCCTTGGTGGGGTTCAACCTCATGTGCAGAGAAGTGTGGTGGAGGCACATGTCTCAAGAGTCTCTGCGTTTACTGCCCTACTCTCTCTGATGGGCAAGAGGAGCGGGCGATGGAAAACATCCTCTTTTTTCATCCTCCCCACGTTCAGGCAAACGTGCAGATGAACCATGTTGGCTTTTGTATTGGCGCAGCATGTTTGGTAGAGCGATTTGGGTCAACGGGGCTTCTTGACAGGATTCAAACCAGTCAGGGAACCACGGTGCTTTGCTCTCCGTTCCCCAATCTATGGATTGCCGTTGAGGCAATGGAACCCTATGACAGCTCTGCGCTGCTGCCAATAGTTCGGCGTGGCTTTGAGGTCTTTGTGCTGCGACACGGCTGGTCAACTGTTGCGGCGCTCGTATCCCCCGTTGGTGCGTCGGTTGGCAGTGCTGAGCCGCGTCGGGTGCTGAAAAGCTTTTACGAGAAGTTTGCCGTGTTTCTGGAAACGCGGGTTCTGCTTGTTGACGTGCGTGACGCCGTCCGGTTGTCGAGGGGCATGATGAAGCCTGCATCGTCCGCGTCAGTTGCGGCACCAGAAGCGGCTGTGGGACGGGAAAAAGGTCACGTGCCGCGATGGAACCGTCGCTGGACCGTGCTGGCAGTGACGGAGTGTCTGCTGGCCTACCCCGTTTTTATGCGTCCGGCATCACTTGCGGCGCAGTCCATGTGTCATAGTCTGGTGTATCGTTATTTATCCTTTCTCTCGACTGGAGGAGTTCCCAACGACTCCGCATGCAGCAGCAGCAACAATGAAAACAAAAACGACAGCAGTAAAAAAAGAAACTTTTCAGTGGATTTTTTGCGGGCCGAGCATCGTGCACGGTTGGCTGGGGAGAAGAGTACAAGGGCGTAGCCGCCACCAGCAGCGCTGCGACACTGACGCAAAGTGTCAAAGAGCGTCTTTTGTGGACATGCTGCCAGTACATAGTGTTCGTGAGAGAAACGTTGAAGGTGATCGCCTCCAACGCCGCACCTGCCGTTGTGTCGAGGCTTATCTGCTTGCTATTGGTGGAGCCGGATTTGACAGACTTTGCCGCATTTTTGGAAAGTGGCCACTCACACTGTTATATATGTCATGCGTCGGGTGTCATTGTCGCCGTTTTGGTCAACGCCAGCCTTCACCGTTCGATGCATCAGATGATTCTTGAGGTTTGCAAACCGCTTGCGGAGGATATCGCGGAGTTATTGACGACTGGGGCGTGTGCCCTGTCCCGTGGGGGCCCTGTAGGCCCGCGTGAGCTGCAGCAGATGGCCCTGACCTCGCGAAACGCCTCCCATTATAGCGCTGCGGGTTTTTTTTCTGCCGGGCCACACCTGCCGAGGTTGCGCGAGATGAAGTTGACGTTTCAATGGACCGTGTGGCACAATGACATGGTTGCCGGGACTCCACTGCGTGAGTATCCCCGTGCTCTGCAGGTACTGTTGTCGGGCATGCTGCGTGTGCTCACGCCAGGTCTGCCCACGAAAGGGGAGAGAGTGAAGGGAACTTGCGCCGTTGCTTCTACCAATCCTCACCATGACAACTTCCGCAGAGTCTCAGAGGGTAGCGGCGTTGTTCCCTTAAACCAGCATTTGCCCTGTGCACTGATGGAGTTGTGGATGCCGCTGCCCGATTTATCCTGGATGTGCGTTTCGCGACGACATCATCACGTGGGTGGAGTGGTGTTTTACGGCTCTGCTTCATTGAAGAGCTGCTTCGAGGCCGCATCCGAGTTGTTTGAGTACATGCCTTGCTTGCTATGAAGTTTTCGCTTCTTGTATCGGAGCCGCTTTGCTTCCCCTCTCTGCATCCGTCTGGTGTGCTCAGTGAGGCCCTTCTCTGTGTGTGGTGTTTGGGGGGCGGGGCCGAAGCGAGCGTTATATGTTTATATGGTGTTTGCATATATTTCTGTGTGTGTGTGTGCACGCCCATTCTATTCCTTTTTTTTTGTTTTTGCCATGTCGTGTGTATTTGACTCGTCTGTGTGGGCGTGTAGGTGCCATTCCGCAATGGATGAGAGCCATTGCTGGCGATTGCAGACAGCCTGGAAGTCGACACTGTTCTCTTTCCTACTCTCGCGCCTTTCTCTCATGGCAAGTGTGCTGCCACTGGTGCTGTCTCTTTATTTGCATACAGCTTCTCAATTTTTCCACTCTTTCCTCTTTCTTCGCGTTCTTCTGTTTACGTTTCGTGTGTGTTGGCTTCCTCTCCCAGTTGGCGGGGAGTGAGACGATGACGTAAGGAGGGCTCCGGGTTCCGCACGCATTGTTGCTATTTTTATTGTAGTTATTGGGAGTTCTACTTGTGTTGAAGTTGCCGCGCTGGTGCGCCTGCGGAGGCGGATCCTGTTGCTTGGTTCATTGCAGATGGAATAGCGGCAACCAACAACCAACAGAGAGCAACAGACAGCAAGAAGGCGGGGAGAGAGTCGCTAAGAGGCGTGCTGTGGGGCACATTGCACACACACGCAAGCAAACACGAAAAACAAAAAGAGGAAAGAAACATTAACGCAAGGAAGGGAATAGACGGAGGCTTAGGGAGTGGAGTATAGGCGCATGTCCTCCACGTTTCCCACTATTCCCGGTTATGCCGGCCCCTGGTCACTGAAGGACTTTCTGCTGCGGTACTTCTTCGTGCAGCTGCGATTTGAGGCGTCCCCAGCGACGCACTTTGTACCATCTTCCAATGGGCGGATTCTGTTTGTGCCCCCTACGGGCGGCTTCGCAGTGGTGGTGTACGCCTCGTTGGGCGCTCCACCGCCGCCGCCACTCATTGGGAGGTCGGCAGCGTCACCGGTGGGCGAGGTTGCGGCTGCGGGGCATGACAAGTTTCCGCGAGCGGCACCTGTGATGCTGCGTGGGAGGCCACTGACTTCGTCGCTGCTGCGGTGCTCTTTTTGGAGCTCCCTCTTCGCTCAGCTGGGAACTGCAGCCGTCAGCTTTATCGCTGCATGGTGCCCGTTGGTGGTGCAGTTTGAGCCGAGTGGTGGGGGGCTGCAGGTGTTGGGCCCTCCGCTGAAGAGCGCCGTGCCGCGGGCGGTAAAGCGACAGCGAAGCGTCAGTTGCATGGGATTGCGCAAGAGGGCGCGATGGGAGGGAAATGCCCAGCCGCGTACCACACAGGCGACGTTGTTCTCATCGTTGGCCTCGTCACTCTATCGCTTGAATGTTTCGCGTCTCCCGTTGATTGGGGAGGCACCTCTTCGCACCTTTGCGGAAATCGACCGCGCAGTGGACCCCAGGCTTGCAGAATTGTGGCAGGAGCATCACGCAGGTGCAGACCCGACTGCAGCATGCCGTTGCTCGGTTACTACAGGAGTGGACCCAGTCTCATGTGCAGACACGTGCAAAGTCTTGAGCATGTCAAAACGAATTGGTTCACTTGGTGTTTCCCTACACATTCTCTGCAAATGGCGATGTCGACAGCAGAGTCAGCATGGAGTCCGTGGAGCGGCATCTCACACACGTGCTTCACTGTCTTTTGGGCGGTGTGTGCCGGATGAATCTTCGCGGGGCGGCAATTAAACATGCTGGTTTTTTGGAGGAGCGCAGTCTCCCCTTTAAGAGCTGCCGCTCCCGTGAGCAGCAGGCTGTGGAAGCTGCAGCCGTTCCGGTGTCGGAACTCACTTTGCCCGAGTCCATTGTGAACTCCTATCTTCGCAGCTTGCTGGAGGGACTCTGGTGGCGTGCGCCTCAGGGCAAGGGGCGGGTGAGCTTTTGGGGGGAAGCATTGGTGTTGGATAGGCTGTGCGCCGTCACCTTGAATTGGCTGCAGTGCGGGAGACAAGAGAGCTTTCCACTCAGTCACTTTCTACATGAGGTGCCCGTCGCCAGGCTTCCATGGCTGCGTGGTTTCTACACCCGAGGCGTTGGACGCAAACGACGGTCCATGATTCAGCAGCGGGTGTTCCTTCAATTGGTCTTTTTTATTTTCCAGCATGTGGTGCCGTTTTTGGTGCGGCGTTCGTTTCACGTGACGTGGTCGTCCAAAAGGCCCGGCGCGTTTCTTTTCCTACCGAAGCTGGTGTGGTCCCGCCTCGTGAGCCGTGAGCTGCGACACGTGTGCCTCCCACGCCGCAGTCGAGGGAAGCGGGAGAGAGACGCTGCTGGCACGCCGCGGCCGACGGCGTCACTCCCCATGGCGCTGCAGCGCGTCACCGCAGACGAAGTCGTGGCATCAAAGCTGGCGCCTGAAACGGACGCCGCAGCTTCCGCCCCTCCGGTGTTGTACTCGTCCATTCGATTTCTCTTGGACCATCACAAGCTGCGCCCCATCGCACGGGCTCGCCACGCCAGCTTGCGCCGGCTGTTAAAAATGGCCGATGGGTTGTTTCCCCCGACGACAGCCGTTACCCGCATGATGCCTGGAAGGGCGGCGCCCACCGCGAGAGGGGCGCGTGGTCGTAGTGCTTCTCCCCACGCCGCGGTGTTACGCGGGGCACTTCGTTGCCTGCTTGCCGGCCTCGCGGAGCACCACGTCGGTTCATCGCTGGCGAAATTTACAAATATTTCCCATCAGGATGAGTATGCCGAGATACGCTCTTTTGTCGAGGGCGCACGACACTTCCACCGGTGTCCGCTGCTTGCATCCGCCCCGGTGTCTTGCACCGCCCCACCGGGAGGCGGCAGTCCAGTGGTGACGATGTTGCGCGGGGATGCGGCGAGGTGCTATGACAATCTCCCACAGGCGGCAGTGATGCACGCCGTCGAGCGTCTCGTGAGTCACGACTCATACTACACACTGTCGTTATCGGTCATTGCCCCGTGGATGAGCGGTGGTGCGGGGACCGGTACCCGGGCGGGAGTGCATGGGCAGCGACTGCAAAGCACAGGTGAGGACGCAACAAGCGCCGAGGTGTTGCTGCATCAATTTGTGAAGTCGCAGACCGTCTCTGGGGAGCGCGTTCAAAATGGGACGCTTCCAGGCATTCCAAGAGGATGGATTGTGTACGAGGAGCCCACGCCGCCCTCCGACTCCATGTTAAGTGGAAATGAAATGCGTGCAGTTTTAAAGCAACACCTACAGCATCACCTTGTCGTCATTGATAGGAAGCTTTATACACAGGGAGTGGGGATAACCCAAGGCTCAGCGGTGGCCATGCTGCTCTGCGACACGCTTCTTGAAACCGTGGATCAATCTCTCTCCTGCATTCTTTCACAACATGAGGAACCGGCACTGCTTTTGCGACGAGTGGATGATGTCTTGGTGGTGACATTGTCTCACGTGGCGGCGGCTCGTTGCGATGCGGCGTTGCGTCGTGGATGGCCCGAAGTAGGGTTTCTTTGCCAGGGTGAAAAGCTGCGATGTAGTACGGTCGAACTCATTCCGTGGTGTGGTCTGCTGTGGAATCCGAAAACGCTGGAGTTTTCCGTGGAGTGGAGGCGTTTAGCATCGCTGCTTCCACACATTGCATCCTACCCAATGACTGGCAATGAACCGCTGCATTGCTCGCTGCGACTGATGAGTATTCTGTGCCTCCGCACACCATTGACGGTGCTGTGTCGCCGTATCAACAGCAAGATGCGTGTGGTGCAGACGCTATGTGAGATTGGCTTCCTCTGGTCGCGCTTCTTCCTAAAGAAACTCGTGCAAAATGCAGCTTTCATGCGACCCCACGTGCGTGTTTTACTGAAGCCCCTCGCACTGGCCGCCGCTTCGTTGCGCCGGTTGGTGAGGCGTCAAAAAGGTCACCTTGCACGGCTTGGCTCTTTCTGCGACGTCACAGATGAGGAGGTCCAACTCTGTCTTCTCTTTACTCTGCATAAGACCCTTCAAGGATGGTTGCCGTGGATGGTGTCGCGGTTGCGACGGGACAGGAATGGACAGAGGCGTTTTCTGCTACTCTTATTGGCTCTCGTGCGACGGAAACTGAGGGCGGCGCTTTGGAGAGACGGTGCTCTTTCTGAGGGAAGCGAAGGGCACGACTCCGCTCGTCGCGGCAGTGGCCATGGCACTGCTGTTGCCGCCGTCGCTGCTGCGGAGCAGCAGGATGAGAGGAAGAAGCAGACTGCACATGGGGTGGTGGGTGGGATGCTGCTGTCTGAAGGCGAGGACACAGTCACTGTGCGCGCTCTCGCCGCGGTGCAGTTTCGGGCCTTACACGCGCAGTAAAGCACTGAGGGGGGGGGGGGAGTTTGCTCACTGTTTGTTATGGAATCCACCACAGTCGGGACGATGGGGAAAAAAAAAGAAAAAAAACTGCTTCTGCAAGCTCCCCCTCCCTCCTTTATTATTATTTTATTTTGGCGGCTTTACCGCCATTGTTTTTTCTGTAGTGTTGCTTATTCCTTCGCTTTCTGGTGCTTGCGAGGTACGCAACCGGCCTCTCCTGCTCTTGGCTGCTCAATCCGTGCAACTGTCAAGCCCCTCCTCTTCTTCCCTTCTTGTCATCATTGCGTCCGCAGGAAAGGGATGGAGGACAGTGGAGGCATTGCTCAGTGGTCCAACGACAGGAGTGGCCGGGGCGGCCGAGGCGAGATGATGGGTCGCGGTTCCATGGGACCCACTGGCGGCTCACTGTCGCTCAGTACATCTGTGCCCCCCACAGAGTCGCGGCGGCAGCGGACTTCGTCCGCCGCTGCACAGGCAAAGCACGGCGACAGTTCGAGCAAACGAGGGAGCAGGCGCGGCACAGAGGACACGCTACCGCCCATTAACAGCAAGCGCCAGAGCCGATCTGGCGATCCAAAGAAGCCGGCGGCAGTGGCAGCCGCGTCGTCCGGGCGGGGCTCAGCTTCGAAGAAGGGGCGGAGAGCGACGGGCTCGCGCTCATCCACGCCACGGGGCAGTGCCGTGGGAAAGCGAAGAAGCCACTCCCCAGCGGCGTCAAGGTCAGCCAGCCGCGCGTCTTCGCTCGGCAAAGCTGCAGCGTCTACGGGCTCAAAACAGCGTGGCAAGTCGTCTCGGGGGCCAAGTGCCTCTCGATCGCGTGCGGGTTCGCGCGCGTCGACAGCGAAAAGGCGCAAATCCACCAAGGGGAAGGGGCTCAGTGGCCCCGGCAGCAGAAGACGGTCCGTGAAGGGAAAGAAGGGAAAGGGGCGGCCGTCGTCAGCGCGTGGTGGTCTGAAGGAAGACGCGGGCGTTCCCGCTCTCGCGTCCTTTGCGGCAATGGAGACGACGCAGCGCCTTGCTCTCGAGAAGGAGGAGGACTCCACACGTGAGTCCTTCTTGCCGGATTACAACCTTCTCGTCATGAACATTGTTCGCTCGCAGTTAGCGGTGGTGAATGAGCGACAGCAGTGCCTCAATGATACCTTCAAGGCTATGCGTGCCCACGGTCTCCAGTTGGCGTCTGGGCAGGATCCCAATGCTGCAATTGACATGCTGCGGTTACAGTTACAGGCGGAAATGCAGAAGCAGATGGATGATATTCGGGTGGAAAATGGGTCTCTTCGTGGTCTGTTGGACGAAAAGAAAATTGAGTTGGAGGAGAAAACTGCAGAGATTCAGGGACTCCGGGACAAGGTTAACCGCAGACTGATGCGCTTTGAGGTGGAGAGTGAATCCTTGAAGGCCGAGGTGCAGTCCGTGTTGCAAACAAACCAGCTGGACGTGGACCGAATGAAGCGGGATCTTGGGCATCGTCTCGATGTGGCCACGGCAACGCTTCGCACCCCCAAGTATGATACGGCGTTGCGCTCCATGCAGGAAATTGTGCAAAGCGTGCAGGAGGAGATTCAGGAGCACCATGATACTTTGAGCAAACTCATTGTTTCTATAGGGGCGCAGGACACTTTTTTGCGAGACAAGAGTGATTCCATGCACACCAACTTTCCAACAAGGTATCGTGATGAACTGCGGAAGCTAGACAAGGACCATCTTCTTAACCTACTCGACGTGCTCTCATTCCACGACGCCGTCGTAGAGACAGTGGGTAAAGCCCTGTACGTGCTGCAAAAGTCGGAGCATACCACGAATGTATTTTAATACCCCTATCATCATCATCATCACCATCCTTATTAAATGTATTTTACACAGCTTATATGGTTTACTTTGCCATGATTCAACGAGAAAGACAACATCAGAGTCAAGAAGAAGAAACATAATTGAATGAGACAAGTGCAACCGTAGGGCGCTTCTTCGATTGCTGGATATTCAAGGAGCCGCGTACCCCGTTTCTTTTTTTTTTCTTCTATTGAAGACGAGGTGAAGTGCCCTTGTTGTTGTTGTTTTCTCTTCTCACGGCTGCTGTAACGCCTAGTATCTGGCTCTTTATTAAGAGTTGAGGAGGGAAAACCGTCCTGTGCGTATGCGTGTGTGGGCGCCTGCGACGAAGGAAGGAGACACCCACAATGGAGGACGCAGTGATAAGCCCCAGTTCAAAGCTCCGCCCATCCTCCTCCCCGTCACCGGCGCCCTCACTGATTGGGAAATTGACGCCGTCATCATCCTCACTGGCAGGTGGCCCGCGTAGTAAAGAAAAGGCGGCAGCCCGTGTCGAAGCAGCAGTGCAAGAGGTCCCATGGCGTTGTGTTTGCGGTGCTCTCTGTCCTACGTCCGCCGTTTTTCTTCTACATTCGCGCAGTTGTTTGGCAAGGCGTGGTGATGTGCCAGGACTCGTTACTAGCGAGGATCCCATTGGTGTGGATGATGCTCCCAGGGAGTCGACGGTGCGTGGGCGGATGCTTTCCTCGCTCCGTGCCGCGGGGAGTTCAGGCGAGCTCCACGGTGACTGCTTAGCAGCGGCTGCCAACGCGATGCAGTTTTCCCTTTCCTCGACAACATATGAGCCACGAGAAGAAGCGGAGGGCGTGGAAGGAAGAGGAGCGACAGGAAGGAGCTTGAGCACAGTGTGGGAACTGCAGCCGGTGTTTCTTTCTGTGTCTGGGACGGCGCTTCTTGCCGCGGCGCGCCGCAGCATGGGGAAAAGGAGGAAAGGCGACGACGTGACGGAGACCCGGGATTGGGACAGTCGTAACGCTGAGGAGGCCTTTGCATCTCCGTCCCCCCACTACACGGTGCTTCCCCATGGCCTTCAGTACGCGAAGAAGCTGACGATCACGGGCACATATCGTTTTCGTGCAGCGTTTGCGGAGACCGAGGAGGGTGCAGAAACGCGAGTGCCAGGCAGCAGCAGCAGCAGCAGCAGCCGTTCTTTTTCGACGAGTGCCTCCCGGCCTCAGGACGATGCGGCAGACGGCCACGTGGAGGGCCTAGCCTCGCCTCGACGGTTTTCGAAGCTGCGATTTAACGCCAACCACGCCGAGATGTCCTCGTATGTGTACAAACGTTTTTTGCCGCGGGATGACGCCCAGTGTGAGCGGGATACGGATGCAAAGACTCTGGGGCCAGAGGACGCCTGCGCGATGAAGAAGTCGCGGGCGGAGTCAACCTGCTTGGACACCGTCTTGCGTCGGGAGGGTCGACGCATACTGCCTGTTCCCATGCCCGTGCTGGAGTGGCACTATCCGAGGTAGCGCGAGGAGGGGGAAAGGGGCGTCAGCGACGCACAAGGATGATTTCCGGGATCGCGAAAAACAAAAGTGGTTGGAGAAGCGCGTCATTGTCGCGAGGCTTTGAAAGCAACTGAGATTCACACACCGCGACAACGACCTCTCTGGACCTTGCTCTTCGTATCGTCCCCACTCCCCGTTCTTGCAGTACTCTGTT